ACTTTTTGTTGTCCGTGGTAGTTCTCATATCAATGCAACTTTCTCTTAAGCTTTCTCAACCAAATCTGTACGTAACAATTGTGCTTCGCCAGGTTCAAACCATCCAACATGTGATCAACACTTGCGACTATATAAAGCCTTATATGTTGCCATATGTAACTTGATTTAATCAAATTCTGTCAAAGGTAACTGATCATCCCAATGACCACCAAAATCAGTTGTACAAGCTCTAAGCATGTCCTCTAAGATCTGAATAACTCGTTCAGACTATCCGCTAGTTTGGGGATGAAAGGTTGTACTCAACTCAACCTCTGAATCCAACGACTTCTGAAAAGACATCCAAAACTCAACAATGAATTGTGCACCTTGATATGATATTGTTGAAATAGGCACCCATGAAACCGAACCATCTTTCGAAAGTAAACATTGCTAACTGCTTCGCGGTATAAGAAACTGAACTTGTATAAAATGAGTAGATTTTGTGAGTCTGTCCACAATCACCCAAACTAAGACTTGTTTCTTGAAAGTATTTGGCAACCCAACAACAAAGCCCATAGTAATCATTTCCCACTTCCACTATGGGATAATCAAGTTTTGCATTACTCCACCTGGTTTCGATGTTCATATTTGACCCCTTGACAGTTTAAGCAACTAGTTACATGTTTCAAAATATCATAATTTGTACCTTTCCACCAGTATAATCCACATAAGTATTGATGCATCTTCATAGCACCTGGGTGGATGAAGTATTGTGAACTATGAGCTTCTTCAAGTATTAGTTGCTTCACATTACCCACCATGGGAATACATAATCTATCATTTCGATGTCGAACACCCTCACCATCAATAGAGAATGACTTTACACCCCTATTCTATACTCGATCTCGTAGCCTAGCAAATTGGGATCGTCATATTGGCAAGTCTTGACTTCTCCAATCAAGGATGATTGCACCACCATACTTGCAAGAAACCTTATAGGAAATGTATGATCAATTCAAACTCCATGATTGGTTAAAATCTAAATATACATAGCCACAAGTCACCATTCCGCAACAATCCATGCCAAGCTAGCCATAGCTTTCCTATTCAAGGCATCTATCACCACATTTGGCTTTCATGGATGATACAAAATAGTCAGATCATAATTTTTAAGTAGCTCAAACAACCGTCATTGCCTCAAATTTAGATCTCTTTTCTTGAATATGTATTGCAAACTCTTGTGATCAATATAGATTTCACACGGCTCACCATAAAGATAGTGATGCCAAATCTTGAGTGCAAATATGATTGCAGCCACTTATAAGTTATGTGTTAGATAATTCTTCTCATGAATATTTAGATGTCGAGAAACATATGCTACCACTTTACCATTTTGCATTAAGACACAACCCAAACTGATTCTAGATGCATCGCAATAAATGTTGAAACCACCCTCCATGGTAGGTAAGGTCAAAACCAAAGTTGTAGTCAATGCAATCTTTCATTTCTGAAAACCTTCTTCACATCCATATGACCATTCAAACACCACACCTTTTTGAGTTAAACATGTCAATACCAAAGGTTTGCTTAAGATCATTTATGATCCTAAACATCGATCACAACTAGGATGCAGACTCAAATCGTGACATCGATCATGTTTTGATAAGTGAATACCTATAGCGACTTAATAAGACCATTATAGACAACTTGCTTTATTGTGATTAGACTTAGCTATAGTAAAGTCTTTTATGTTACTTGCTTGGGCACAATCAAATGTTTTAAGTTGGGGGTGTTGATGTGCCTTAAAATTAGAGCACATATGATGTCTTTTACTTAAGTTATTTATGTCATTTTGCATGTTTCATGTGTTTTTAATGTTAGATTGTTGTTTTATAGGTATTCAGAGTCAAAATGGACAAAATAAGGACAAATTGAGATTCTTTTTTTCTAGGAAGTGTCTCAACTTTTCCTTGTTTTGGTTATTTTGATTCTGAATACCTTCAAAACAATATGCTAACACAAAAAACATACCAAAAAAATGCAGAAAGGATAAAGAAAACTCAAGTAAAAGACATATTATGTGCACTCATTTCAAAACATATCACCTAAACTGACCCCGACCCATCCCCTTTCGTACATTGACATGTTAAAACTAGTAGCTCAACTTTTTAGCACTTCAACACACGATACAACACATGGATCATATGTCAAGCATATGGTTCATATGTTGTTTTGTATATGGATACTTGTAGCCTCATGTTATAAAAGAAGAGGCGGCAATAGGTCATACATATTATATATGAAATGATTTTTGGAAAACCACTTAGATTGCTGAGAAGATATTGTGATAATTGCCCAAAATCATATATACTGATGTATGTTAAGCTGACTTGGGTTGAAGTCCCATCACACCATGTGAAACTGACTTGGTTAAAGTCCCGTCGCACCGGATTAATCAAACTTGGGTTAAAATCCCTTCGCATTCAGATAAGTTGTTAGATTGAAGTCTTGTCGGTCTCTAATCAAATACCACCTATTACAAGTGCTATCGCTATCGGCTCATGATACGAGTTATGATATGTACTCACACACGACATTATGGTAAGACTACCTATTTCGATGGGTGAAAGATTGGACACCATGTTGTATACATATAGTAATGTTATTGTCGCCATTTAGGTGATTCCCACATAAAAAGCTTATGCTTATGATTTTTTATTTCTATTTATAAATGCCCTATTCTTAATTAGATGAACTTATATTTATTGAAAGGTTTTCTACACTACTATGATACTTGATTTTATGAGGTAAAAAGTATATTTATTTTCAAGTTTTGAGGTTTATTTGAAGTAATGACTTAGAAGAGTATTGGTTCCACTCTATACCTTATTCCTCAAGTTTCATTATAATTATGTAGCATGTTCTCTTTATATGATATCATATTCCCTTATTGAGTTGATTATATCTTATCATACAATTATCATTTTACGGTACTTACATTTTTTGTGTCGGGGGTGCTGCACTCAGAATGCTAATTTTGGTATTTAAGACAACACATTTCCTCGATTGGCATTCCTCTCTTAAAGCAGCTCCTATTGGTGAGCCTCACTTACTATATGAGGACAATTCATGCCACTTAGTGTAATTAGGTCCTTTGGGTACGTTGAGACCTGTTCTGATATTTCTATTTTGAAACATGTCTTAGAGTCATCATAGTCAATTGTACTCATATTATGCACATGCTTTGGAAACCATCCCACATGGTCTTTATCCAGAATTTTAGTTATGTATATGTTGAAAAGTTCTTTATGCTATTTTATGAAAAAGTAGGCTCAAAGTATGCTTGTCATAGTGTTTTAAATTTATAAAAGAGGTATCTTATGAGACTCAAGTCTACCCGTCTGCTTAAAAGTATATTTTCTTAAAAAATACTATACCATTGTATGCATGTAGAAAGGTTCACTCGATCATGTCAAGACGTCGGTTACCTTTTCGTCCCACCAAGGTTCAAGACATGATATTTCTTACATTATATTTATATTAGACAGTTATAAATATACCAAAAAACATAAACATATACTTGATTTATACATTAAACTATACCATCTAATGTCCCATGAAATATACGTAACAAGGGTTGGGAAAAGGAGATTTTAAGTGTTATTTTCTTATACAAGGTAAGGTGGTATAGGAAGGCGTAGAAAGGAATTGAGTGTTCATATAAAAAAGGGTTGAATAACTATGTGAATGATCTAACTTGTTCTTAGGTATTGTCGTTTGCCTATAAAGGCTATATCGAGCTACTTTAATAATCATGGGGTTAGGAATTATATACTTTTTTAACGGAAGTGAAAATGATTTTTTCTTCTTTTTTCATATAGTTGGGGGGGGGGTATTCTTGAATTTGTAACCTACTAAGTATCACACAAGTAGCTACATGTAATTTTGAGAGAAGCACAATAGGCTAGTCAGGACCGTCTCAACAGGTTTGGGGGTCTAAAGCCAAACTTTATAGAGATACCTTATTTTTTGTAGTTGTTTTATATAAATTCAACAATTATAATATACTCATTATAATTCTACAAGCGAAGTTTTGAGAAAGTAGAATGAACACATACTTTACGAAGTAAACATGTAAATAATGAAAACTTTTAATGACAAAATATAATATATGTTAGAATAATAAATCCTGACTCAAAAATTTAAAAAGTTTATATAATGATATTGAAATAGTTGCGTTGAATTTGATAAGTTGATATAATGATATTAAAATAATATTGATTTGTTGCAGTGCTTGAAATTTAAAGAATACACCAAAAATTCAATTTATTTATTTTTATAAACACACAACAATAGATTTTACATAATGCAAAAGATTTGACCGTTTGATATACTTTAGAATACTCAATAAAAAGAGAATAAAAATAGAAAGGGTGATAAAAAAGATAAAATGCATAAATAGTAATGTTGGTTCATGATAATTGCCAAGATATGAATAAGTCAACAAATAAGGTAACCACATAAGAAATGATACGACAATTAACTACACACTATTCCATTTCTCAATTATTACAATGACCTCCACATTAAATAAAATAAACATTTACTATTATATTTTTTACCCAATTTTTTCTTTTAAATCTATCAATATATAACACTATCCCATTTCTCAATTATTATAAGGATTTCTATATTTAATAAAGTAAACATTTACTATTATATTTTCTATCCAAAAAATTCTTTTCAAATTTATCAACATTTATATATAAAAAAAATTGGGGGCGCCAAATGATTGCTTTAATGCCTAGATAACATGAGGCTAGTTAGCATATTGCTAAAAGCAAGAGTTTAGGGTATAAATTGCCAAAACTTATACAGGTTTTGGGTGCGAACTACATTCTATCCAAAAGTTTTCTGCAAATCCAAATTTCGGCGCTTGTAAATTCTATGTGGTAGTATTGTTTCTTCCGAAAATTCATATTTGAATGATCAAAGGATTTCTTCAGAACTTGTAATTTCACAGTGTTGTTGTTGTTGTTGTTATTCATATATCTGGAATTACATGGCATGTCATCAACTGTTACATTGTCAAATTCAATCTCTGTGGAGGACTGTATTTCACTTAGGGAGTAAGCTACGTAGTTCCCATTTCCGAAGGTTGCATCCCATTTATCCTCTATCAACATCTCTTGATAAGGTAAATTGAAAAACTTCATCTTCATTTAACAAACCCCTTTTACTTCTCAGTCTAATGCTTTATTTTGTGATATGTGTTAGGGTTACTGCAGGGTTTCACAACCCATTTATGCAAAAAATATTGATACAGACCAAGTGTTACGCAGAGATGGGCTTTTTGATTCTCCTCATACTGAAATTAGGTCAACCAATATTGATCCTTCCAATGGCAAACTCATGCTCATCGACGGAACCTCAATAATATACCGAGCTTATTACAGATTACTTGGTATGTTTTTTTTTTTTCTTGTCTATTTTTAGCTTTATAGGTTATGTTTACTTCAAGTTCTGACTTTTTGTACTCTTAACACTTTATGTACTATATCATCCTTTGTTGGATATTCTTGTAGATGTTTGTGGTGTATTCGATCTACTAAGCATCAATAACTTCTGCTTTAGTTATGTATTCCTTATCTTGATGACCTTAATTTTCCAACAGTGAAGAAATTGTTATACCATCTGAATAGTTTTGGAAGTTGGTGTTAGGTCTCATAGAAGCCACCCCAAAAGGCATTTTGTGATGCTTAAATGGTATTTAGGTTAATGATACATTTGGTTTGATTACTTCTGCAATATGAAAATATAGAAAACTAAGGGAGGGGAAGGGGTGGACTAAAGTAAAGAACAAAACCGATAGAAGTTAATGGACAAATCAATATATTGAAAGAGAAGAAGATTCTGGAAGAAAGGATTACTGAAGTTGCTTAATGAGTTTTATGGTCTCTTGGAGAGTCACATTTTTATGCAGGCCTTGTACGTGGGAAATTTCGCCATTATGTTGATAACCATGTGTAAAAGGAAAAGGTCTTTGGTTGGAAACATCAAGTATCAGTAAGTTTCTTTAGGAGTGAATAATGCATTGATCATTCAGTTAATGATGATGACAGATGTTTGAACTCATCACTGAACACAACTACTACGAAATCAAGTGATTGTTGAAGAAAATCCTGTAATATATTCTAAAACATAAGAAACAAGACATCCTGAAAGTGCTGAGTCCTCAATTAATGGGTTTTCCAGGCTAGAACCATACGCTCTGAAGTTCCACCGATAATGAGAAGTAGCAGAAATCTATATTCAGCTAACAACTACACATTTGAAAGCTGCTTAATCAATAGTAGATCATATTTACCTCCTTGAGCTCCCAATAATTTTGTGGTGCCAAATACTCTCTATAGGAGCCTCTAGGACCTTCACATTAGTTATTATTTTGTGAAAAGAAGTATTTGTTATGTTTGTTGCTGTAACTTCTTTTCTTCCTGCTGCAACTTGCACAAAAGTTCTTTTTCTTTTTTTGTTAGCTGCATATTTGGAGAGGACTAGGAGGGAAACGAAGAGAGATGAAGGAACAAGAGGTAGAAGAAAACATGAAGAAAGAAGTGAATGGACATTTTCTTTCCTATCTTTGCTTTAAGAGGATATGAAGATATAAATAGAAAGGATATTAAGCAGCAGGGATAGTTACCAATATATATCATTCGGCCATCTAGTTTACCGAACATGACCAAAATGTATACACTACATATATTCTCGGTTGTATATGTTGTGTATATGTATGTATATTATATATATATAGGTATGTATATTATTTGTATAAGTATGTATAGATATGTATAATATATGTATAGGTATGTATAGTATATGTATATGTATGTATATTATATGCATACTAGTATAGAATATATACTACCATTGTGTATATATTTTGTAAACTAGATGACCCAAAGGTATTTGACTGTAATTTTTTCAGAGCATTGACTTATTTCCTTTAGTCACTAAGTAGGTGGGTCAATCAAAAAGGAATATGACACTTTTTGTGTCACGGTGAAAAAGGAAAAGAATTTTGTTGATATAAAAACTTCTCTTTCCCTTGTTTTCTATTTGCTTGCCTCATGACTAGGTAGGATGCGTTGAATAAAGGAACGATAAAAACTTTTAGTTATATATGGAGCATTGTATGGGATCAAAGGCCCAAACCAAGAAAAGCAAAAGGTTTAGCAAGAGGCCTCTTTCCTTTTTTTGGGTGGATAAGCAAAACACGATTTCTTAATATGGTACTGTCATTTTGAGTAATCAACTTTAGTTTTATGTGCCTGCATACAAAATTTGTGAAGAAATTTGCTTTTCTTGCTTATACATTAGTATTAAATCTTGTGGTGTGGTGTATTGCTTAAAGCTAAGTATTTGATATTAAAAGTGGTACTACACATTGAAATCCAACATTTGTAGAAACCAATGCTCTAAGGCCAGGGTCTCTAAAAATAGGGTGACAAAAAGTTATATTCTCAAATACAAGTTGCTATCGTGAAGTATGTTATCATCGTTAATAGACCTATGAAGTGACTTCAATAATGTGATCAAAATTCTATTAGTTGATGAAGCTTTCTGCGAAAAGGCTTAAAATGATTGCCTGCATAATTTTCAAAAGATGAGGTGTTAGTATTTTTTTAATTTTTTTTTACTATCTTGTAGAATCTACTTATAGTCACCCTTCAGGGTGGCCCAGTGGTTTGGGCTTGGGACTTCCATGTTGGAGGTCTCAAGTTCGAAACCCCTTGCCAGCGAAAGCAAGGGGTTTGCCTTCTGGGTCGAGCTCATCGCACTGGGCATGCCTAGTGCAGGTTACCTCTCCTATGTGGTTTGCGAGCTATTGCATAGGAGCGGGGGTTTTACCTTGTGCGCATCCAAAGGGTAGCGGCTGCGGGTTTCCCTTATCATAAAAAAAAAAGAATATACTTATAGTCCAACTCTATCTAATATGTTAATTTTCATTTTAAGCCATGTCTGATTTGCTAGATGGCATAAGTCAAAGGTTCTTTTTTGTGCTTAACGGCCAGACTAACTTTGAACGATGGATACTTTCTTCTACTTGGCTTATGTTAATAGTTTTTTTTCACAATTATTTACCCTTTGCTAAGACATCAATGAGATGCATATTTTGCTTCTGAAACATAGTTAAATTTCTTGGATTGGAAAACTGAAAAAAGAAATTAGAGAACACTCGAGTCAAGTTAGTGCATGTCAGTCCCTTCAAGGACATCCGATAAAATTGAAATGATACAAAGAAGATCAGCATGGCCCTTGCGCGACAAGCACATATCAAGAAATGGTCCGAATTTCTAAAGAAAAAAAAGTTAGTGTGTGTTAGGGTTTTGTGTTATTTGACTTGGTAACTTGAGAGTCAAGCTGGTCCTTTTATCATGAGCCTATTTGGATATGGACATGTATTCTTCCTCTTCAAGTCTGGTGAAATCTACATTTACTGATAACTATTTATATATGTTTGGACAGCTAAATTGCACCACGGTCATCTTTCACACGCTGATGGCAATGGAGATTGGGTACTAACAATATTTACAGCATTGTCACTTGTAAGTCTTTACTTCTTTAGCTCCCTGATGTTCCCTGTGATTTTTTAACATGGGAAAAGTTAGGCAGTTTCATATCTACATTGTGGGACTACCCTGTCTACCCTAAATGAAGAGCTTTTCTGTCTTAAGGAACTCCTCCATACTTGTTTAATACCAATGTGAAGAATGTGAACTTCCAAAAAACAATTTAATATATCCAGAATCAAGAATTCCAAGATTTCTTTAAATTGCTCATTTTAGCTTAAGCTACTTGCTAATGTTAGCTCTTCCCTAGTTGCTTGAACTTGTTTAGATCTACTATATGGATCTATGTTTGTTGCCTTCTTTTGCTTATGATTCGTATATTGATCTAACCATATGCTTTTCTTGCAGATTATTGACGTTCTGGAATTTCTTCCTTCACATATAGCGGTATACCTTTTTTTCTCTTTGATTTCAAAATTACTCTTCAGTATTAGCCAATTGGTTTACTTCTTTAATCTTAAATCTGTGACAAATTGCCTTCAAATCTGCAAACAAACACTCAAAAAAAATTGGGTCATTTAATTACTGTAAGAAGGGCAAAGTTGTGAGGGTATTCAGCAAAACGCCTCAAGGCTTACGTGTGAAGCTTATGCCCTAAGCACCCGATTGTACGCCCTAAACACGCCTAACACCTTATGCCTAATGCCCAAAGCTTTGGGCTTGCCTAAATGAATGATGCTTAATACCTTTTTTTTCATCTATGGAAATAAGAAGATTGAGAGTAACAATAACAAGTCGTAATGTTGGATTTTTACTATATATTTAAGAACACCATGAGGATTAATATCACTTATATTTCTTTTAAAAATACATAGATGAATTTACAACTTCACGTGTCATTAGTCTTCATGTTTTATCCTATGTTTCAAAATGATCTTATTTCATTACAATAACATACCCATTGAAATCCCTCACAAGTTGGGTCTCAGGAGGGTAGAGTGTACCCAATCCTTACCACTACCTCTTTGAGGTAAACAAACTGTTTCCGAAAGACCCTTGGCTCAAGCAAATCACAACAGTAATAAAATTAAAAAGGATAGTGGGGAGAAACATGACAACTAATAGCAAAAGTATTGCGGTGCATATATACAAGGTACCATAGCAACAACAAAGTGCGATCACCTAAACACAGTGGACCACATATGATATCAAATACCAAAAGCCAAAGACTACATAAATACTACAACCCACATGGCCACATGTGCTCTATACTACCACTGCACCAAATACATGAATAAGCTAGTAATAGGACAACTCTTAACTATCTACTAACCTTCTATCGTTATCCGCGACCCCCAAACCCCCTATCGAAGGTCATGTCTTCGGTAAGTTGAAGATGTGCCATATCGTGACTAATCACCTCCCCCAATACTTTTTCGGCCTACCTCTTGCCTTTCCTCGATCCCACTATATCCAATCTTCCACACCTACTCATCGGGGCATCTGGACATCTCTTTTTTCACATGTCCAAACCATCCAAGTCTTAGCGACTAACTTAATTGCCATTATCCTAGTCTCCAAAGAATAAAACAAATGAATTTCAAATATTGGCATCGTTGTAGAACCCAAAATATAAATGGATGGAATGCCCATTTTATCCTAGTCTCCTCATAGAATATCTACTTGAAGTTGAACTTATTCTAGCTTATGGATGATTAATAGTTTTTGTCATCGAATGGGAGTCTCTGCATAATATCTTCTTCATTTGACTTCTTTTGTACAATTTCTTTGATCAGTTTCTTTTCTTTTTTGCATTTGCTGTGATAAATACTGTCTCATGTTCTGACTTTAGTTGTATTCTTTGTAGGTTGTTTTTGATCATGACGGTAAGAGTTGTTATTGTTCCATTTCTTTCTCTTTGACCACTCTCAGTATGTTGTCATTATGTGTTTAGCTTTTGTGTCCACGCTCTTTGTTTTTCGTACAAATGTCCAACACTTGCAACCTTTTGATAAAGTTTCTTTTATTGCATTGCCATCGTTCTATGCATGTGACTCTTTGATTAGACGGGGCATATGTAATTTTGATATGTGTTTCCTTGCTTTATCTCATTTTTATTATGACGCAATTCCTTCTTGTTACTTCACTTGTTAAATCATTTGGTAGATTTAGAATCATAGTAATTTTTATTTATCAAAAGTAGTATGTTATTCAGAATGTGCAAATGATAGAAACTGAGGTTTTATACAGGATAAAAGCAATAGAAAATACAAAGAGAGACGCAAGTATCTCATATCTCTTGAAACAATAAAAAACACAAAGAGAGACAAGTATCTCGTATCTCTTAGAACAAGAATCTTTTTGCATTTAAAAGATATATTGTATCCTGCCTACACATTACTAGATCTACTATTATATAATAGATAACTAGAACTACTTCATAACTATTTAGGATAAAGACATATAACTTCTAGTAAGCATAAGGTATTGCCAAATAACTCCTAATAACGGTAAGAAACTGCTCAATCCTCAATCCCCAATGTGTGAAACCTCCAGGAATTTGAGAAGAAATAAATGAATCAGCTAGTCAAGTGTCACGACTCGATTCCTCGAGCCGTGATGGCACCTACTATATCCCACCAGTAGGTAAGCCAACCTGAAACCTAGAACAACTAGTAGTGGGTAAAAGGGCAGAAACTAAACAAGAGTAGGCAAAATTTAAGATAACAATATAAACAGGCGGAAGCAAACCAAAACATATATATACAAATAAAGATCCCTCCCAGAACCTGGAAGTCACTAGTACAGAGCTACTAACAAAATGAGTACAAGTCCCAAAAGTGGACCACATAAACTGGACTGTCTCGAAAGGCAAAAGACAAGTCTATATATACAAATGGAGACTGAAATAGTACAAACGCTGTGTGCTCACCCCCGTCTCTGGATCAGACTACTCCAAGCTCGATATCAACGCTGACCACTGATGCTCGGGCCTGCATCACGAAAACAGATGCAAAGCGTAGCATGAGTACCAAAACAAAAGGTACCCAGCAGGCATCATAGGCCGACTGCGCTTGAAAAGTAAAGGCAATATGACAAGAAGGAATAGCACAAATAGGGGCCAAGAACGGAAGTCTAAGTAAATAATGGAATGCACACGAGTGTAGAAAGAACTAACTAAAGTAATATATAAGCTAACTATACCTAACTGGACCCCTATAAGCCTAAAAGGTACACTTGTGCACAAGTTTAAATAAAAACCCGAACGGACCCCCATAAGCTCGACGAGTACACAAAATAACTATAACTAAAGAGAATTGTATCAGAGAACTCAAGATTGGAGAACATCGAACCAGACTCTCATCCCCAATTAGTAGAATTTGACAGTACCGAGGCCGGACCTCGAACCGGATGCTCACTAGAAGTACCCAAGTAACCAATCACAAGTATCAAGTAACTGAGGCCGGACCTCTAACCGGATGCTTTCCAGAAGTACCCAAGTAACCAATCACAAGTATCAAGTAACTGAGGCCGGACCTCTAACCGGATACTCTCCAGAAGTACCCAAGTAACCAATCACAAGTATCAAATAACTGAGGCAGGACCTCTAACTGGATGCTCTATATAAGTATCCGTGTGATCGAGGCCGAACCTTGAATCGGATGCTCTTCGAAAATATCAATGAGGTCGAGGCCAGAGCTTGGATTCAGATGCCCAACAAAGGTGCCAATATAGTTGCTGAAAGAGTCCCAATCGATCCATAATCATAAATGTCTGTGGAACGCCATCCACACTTAGCCAATCAAAGTAAGTCCTTGGAACCGAATCGAAAACCAACTTCAAATCGCAGAGCAAAACTCAGTGTCGCTGACGTAACTCGTGAAGCCGTAGTATCGGAAAATAAGTATAACTATCGTTGGAGCAAGCGTATCACCTAGCTAAGGCCCAAACTATCAGACTCAAGTCTGCTACACCAGTCTACAGGGATCTAAGCCGATCGAGCGACGTCAGGGCAAAACAAAGGCCTATCGGTTCCGAATCATGCATTTCTAAGGCAAGCCATAGTCAAACCTAAACTAAGGCCCAACATGCTTCAAATAAACAGTAATCAAGCATACAAGTACTCCACATAGAAAAGAGGGTCAATTAATAACACATAGCATGCTCACAGTTACCCGATAATTCCCGAAATAGGCCAAAAACATGATTTCTAAACACCTATGCATGATTCAATAACTACCCAACCCAAATCCCAACTAATCAACATGCATTCAGATTCTCGAGCTCAATCTAAGAGAGGGAAGCCGTAGCCTACTCATAGGCCGATCACGCGCGCTCCAAACTACTCCGCCGGAGCTTTTCCCTCCCAAACGGCCTCGGATTGCTGCCACGCTGTCAAAAACAGAATCACAATGTCGTTACGGTCGTTTAGACACTAAATTCGTAAGAAATGGAGGCCGACCAATTTCGAAGTGGGGCCTGCGCCGGAAATTTCGGAATTAACCCCAAAAATAGGTTCTAAACAGCTCCCCGAACTTGTGTTCCATATTGGAACACAATTCGGGGATCGAAACAGTCCCAACATGAACATGCAACGAAAAACCCAAAATTACACTAACAAAAAGAACAACAATGGCAGCTGCTATTTACAAGAAATTACCAGAAACGAGGGCCCAATTGCTGAAACCAACCACACCACGATGATCCTCACGAAAAACCCCACAATCTAGGCTCTTGAATCACCAAATTTGGACCTAAAATAATCAAGAAATCATCTTCCAAAATTTCCCAAAAATTGAGCTTGAAAATGAGCTATGGCAGCATCTAAAACATAATTCTTACCTCCAACAAAGCTTCAAATACGAATTCCAACCACGCCAACGCGTTCTCCTCGGAAAACCACTCAAGATAGCTCCAAGAATCACTGAAATCGGACCTAAAATGGCTGAGATATCAAGTCTCAAAAATTCCCAAACTCAAGCTCACAAAAAGGGCAGTGGCAGCAGGTATTTCACGAAATTTACCTCAAACGGAGACCCCAAATCAGTTTCCGAGCTCATCAACGCGTTCCTTGCGAAAAAACCCACAAGATAGACCTTCGAATCAGTGAAATCGGACTTGAAATGAGAGAGTTAAGACCTTTTAAAGTTTTAGAATAAGTGCTGATTTTTCTGCATAAATACACCAGATTTTCAGCATTTTTCGGAAACTAAAAAAAAACTCCGACGGGGTGCTCCGAACTCGTTCGGAACCCCGTGCACACAAACGAGATATGCAGCCATACCAAAATTGATATTACGGACTCTATGGCGCAGTCGAAATTTTCATACGAGGTCATCTTGACAAAAAGTGGGTCCCACACCCAAAGGCCATTCTAACCAAAATCCACCTAGGGGCTCAGAATGAGTCCGGAGGCCTCGGGAGTCAAACAAAAGGTCGTTCTAGACCAAACTCGAAATTTCGAAACTAATTGCGCCGACGGAATTTTCATCCGGTACATTTTCCAAGAATGTTGACCAAAGTCAACATTAGGCCAAATTTCGAAGGCTAAAACGCCTAATGGTCCAAACTCGCACCGAAGGCCTCGATACTCATGTCAACCATGCTACTAGCCTAATTTGGCCATTTCGAAGCTTCATTCTAAGGTCGTTAACCTGATATTTTGACTAAAGTCAACTTTTTAAGGTTCAGAAGCAACAAAGCAGGGAAACGGGCCTGAAACCCAAACGAACGACTAGGTGACCGAACAGTCAGTGCCAGCAAGTCATAAATAACTTGGGGTCGCTATAGGAACGCTCTAAATGCCGAAATGAATGCATCAACTCAAAAATGACCTGGAGGGTCATTACAACATCCACTACTAAAAGAACTTTCTTGTCCCGGTTCATGCCACAGAGCGTCAGGGATAGGCTTTGCAATCAGTTCTCCAGGTTGGAGCAGGGCCCTATGACCGTCTCAGAGTATGAGGCGAGGTTCCATGAGTTGTCTCGCCATGCTACCATGATCCTGCCCACATAGTAGGAGAGAGTTCGTTGTTTTGTACGTGGGTTGCGGTACCGTCTAAGGGTCGACACAGAGCATGGTTTCAGCCAGCCGTTCAATTCTTGATGTGGTTGATCATGCTCGATCCATGGAGCATATTCATCGCGAGGCCCAAGGGGCATCGATAAGAGGGCACGCTACTAGGGCAACTACAACGGGTCCCAGACTAGAGAGAGGGACTCCTATGATAGGCCCCGCCAAAGGTTCCAGCAGGGTCAGTCTAGCCGGCCTGTAAAGGCGGCATTACCTGCTTCTGAGAGAAGCTAGCATCAGCAGGGTGGTCCTAGTACGAGCCAGGGTTCGAGGGGATCAGATTCCCTCCCTTCCTACCGCGGTCGGGTTACTAGAAGGTGTTCAGCTCCGAAATGACCAAATTACGCTAGAAGGTTGACTGTAGTCCTGAGGTTTTCGGTGCGAGTTTAAACCATTTTTAGCGTTTTAGCCTTGAAAATTGGCCAGCGGTTGACTTTGGTCAACATTCTTGGAAAATGTGTCCGAATGAAAATTCTAACAGCGCAGTTAGCCCTGGAATGTCGAGTTTGGTCTAGAACTACCTTTCGTTCGACTCCCGAGGCCTCCGAACTCATTTTGAGCCCCTCGGTGGATTTTGGTTAAAAATGACCTTTGGGTGTGGGACCCACTTTTTGTCAAGATGACCTCATATGGAAATTTCGATTGCGCCATCGAGTCCAGAATATCAATTTTGGTATGGTTGCATATCTCGTTTGAGTGCACGGGGTTCTGAAGGAGTTCGGAGCGCCCTGTCGATGTTTTTAAGTTTCCGAAAAATGCTGAAAATCTGGTGTATTTATGCAGAAAAATCAGCACTTGTTCTAAAACTTTAAAAGGTCATAACTCTCTCATTTCAAGTCCGATTTAAGTGATTCGAAGGTCCATCGTGTGGGGTTTTTCGCAAGGAACGCGTTGGTGAGCTCGGAAACTGATTTGGGGTCTCCGTTTGAGGTAAATTTCGTGAAATACCTGCTGCCACACCCCTTTTTGTGAGCTTGATTTTGGGAATTTTTGAGATTTGATATCTCAGCCATTTTAGGTCCGATTTCGGTGATTCTTAGGGCTATCTTGAGTGGTTTTTCAAGTCAACTTTTCACGGTTCAGAAGCTCCAAAATAGGGAAACGGGCCTAAAACCCAAACGAATGACCAGGCAACCGAACAACAGTGCCAACAAGTCATAAATGACTTGGGGTCGCTATAGGAACGCTCTAAATGCCGAAATGAATGCGTTAACTCAAAAATGACCTGGAGGGTCATTACATCAAGTTAGTTAGCTTTGCCTTATCAGTAAGTTATGTTGTTGGATTAGTTAGAAGCAGTTAGCAAGATAAGATTCTTTCTCATTTCTATAAAAGACATTGTATCATTACAGATTGAATCATCAATTGAATTTACAAGTACACTTTCCTATTGAATTTTATTCTTCATCTTCTATCTTCTCATCCACCATAGCTGAATAACTCGAGCTTCTCCATTAAGCTCCTGTCCAACTCCTAGAAACTCCGGTTCTATCTTGAATCACTGCCTTTTAGGTAACAATTTCTTTATAGTAACATCGGAATTTCTATTTTGTACAGTTAATCTTTTATTGGTATGCATTTGATGAAATTCAGGTTGATTCTTTTTTTTTTTTTTTGATAGTCCTTGGGCACATCGATTTCTTGATACAATTTTTCTAGCAATACCATTGATCTACACAAACATTGATAATTGATTAAAGTTTTTAAGAAATAACTGGGAGTAAGCGAGTTTCTCTTAATAATGCTTGTCAAACCAAATCCTTACAGGATTTTCACTTGGCCATACGTCTCTTTCAACCAAACAAAATTTTGTTGCAAAAGGTATGTTTCATTATTTTTCTTCTTTTGTCCTTTTTCATAAGTGAACTACACTGAGAGCCAAGTTGGAACATTTCTTTGGTACTGATGCAGCTAGAGATTTTAGAGAATTGAACAATATCTTATGTATGAGATAACACTTCTTTTATTGAAAATATTAACACTTACTACAAGCCTATTCCAGTGCGACACTGTCCCTAACATAAACTGCAATGGATTTCACTATCCTATCAAAAATACAAACAAACATGTACTGCAATGAAGTATATCAGTTTCTTATGGTATCTTCTTGATGATTACTTCATGCCATTTTAGTATGCTACACCATTATGTCAATTTTTCTTTCTCTTAGATTTGATACCAGCAAATTTGTTTGTTTCACTTTATTTTGTTTTGAACGGAGAGGGAGGATGTAAATCTAATTTGGAAGTGTCTTGGTTGAGCACTAACCTTTAACAGTGAGCGTTTGATGTTAGTATATAACTTAAAGTCGTCAAGTTGGTAAAAGTTCTTTCTGGAAACAATAGGATAATCAAGTTTATTTTAGTTCTGAAAATGAAGTTCTACTGAAGATATTCGTTCTCTAGCAGGTTTCTCTTCCGGTTTTGCTAGTTGATGTGATTTTATGTATATGAATTTCTTTCTTGCAATATAATAGATAGTGCATGGCTTGTACAGAGAAGAAGATTACATGTGCATTGGCAGTATTATTTGTAATTTTTCTGAAGAAAATGAAAGTAGTAACTGTTGAATAATACATATAGGAGATATTACTTCCAATTCTGCAAATGTGCCTTTAATAAATTAGTGTGTTTTTTTTCGGGATAAAGCCATTAACAAATGACTAACATTGCAGACCACATTGATAATTTAGGTCTTGCGTTTAAGCCAAAATCATTTGAAGTATTATTCTCTTGTCAATAGTTCCATTCGTAATATTCTAAATTAACTTTCATAGGCCTGAATTTTCGTCACAATATGTATCCCTCTTACAAGAGCAATCGTTCTCCAACACCTGATACAATTGTTCAAGGACTTCAATTTTTGAAAGCTTCTCTCAAGGCCATGTCTATCAAGGTGATTGAGGTGAGGTTTGTCGAGCACTGGGTCAAAGATCAATCCTCTAAGCTTGCGAGATGCTAGGTTCATTAGTTTCTTCAGCAGGTGCCAGGTGTTGAAGCAGATGATGTAATTGGAACCTTGGCTGTTAGAAGTGTTGATGCTGGATTCAAGGTAAATGAAGAATCTTTATAAATTGCTAAGCAGGAACAAAATTACCTGACATTAAGAATTTCATACACATTTCTACATTTTCATCTTATGTCAACCCTAACTGTTAGAATCCAAGTTGTTACTTTAACAACAATAAAGAAATAAAAAAACTGCTTAGGCGTAAGAAAAGAATTTTGAACCTTCTTAGAATTTCTCTGACTAATTTGCTGAATTAATACTTGGCCTCATCTTACAGTATTTGCATTTTCCTTCAACAAGCTTGTCTTGTCCTTGAAATGTTAGAAAGCAAAAAATTATTTTTTACGAGAAAACTGATGAAATCTGGTGGAAAAGTGAATGGGGATATGGCAGTTGTCTGGGAGTGGAGCAGATGTGGCAACATCACCATTGAAACCCTTCACTTGTAACCCCATCTCCACCATGATGGCTCAGTCTCTCTGTGCACTCGCCCATCCATAGGCATGTATCGCCAACATAGCATACAAGTACAACAAATTTTACTCTTTCAGGTTATTAGGTTAATCCTAACTAATCTTATTATAGAGAAGAAATGTACTTAGTTCTTTGAGATAGAAGTAAAAAATTGTAATGGTGATCAGTGGAGCTCAAAGAAATGTACTTAGTTCTTTGAGATAGAAGTAAAAAATTGTAGTGGTGATCACTGGAGCTCTATTGATGGCCAAAAACAAATTTGGAATATACTGAAGAGATGGAGGATTGTCCCAACTTGCGTTTGGTGGACAATTTAATTTGGAAGGAAAAGAATCAAAGATGTTTTGAAGGAAAACGGAACAATATTCAGAAGATAAAGACAAACTTCCTAGGGCTTTACTATTGTTGGTGTAAGCAAGTAGTGATAGGAGATACTGAAGATGTGTTTAATGTTATTGACTGGCTGTAACAAGATCTTAGGAATGATGTAAGTAAAACTTTTTGGAGGGGGACTACACTTTGATGTAATATACCTATGGATATATAGAAGTAAATGTTACCTTTCTAAAAAAAATAATATATGTAGGGGTAGCAAAATCAAGCCCAACCCGCCCAACCCATTTAAGTTTGGGTAGGTTATTGACCCACCCATTCATTACCTCAACCCATGAAAAATTGGGTTGAAAATGTAACCCTAATTGGCTCATGAGGAATCTTGTCAAAATATTTTTAAAAACTTTTTTCAATTTGATATGTTATATATTGCCATAATAAAGGAAAAAATAATTTTATTAGGTACTAAAATAGTTTAGAAGAACAAATAAAACAATTAAGCTTCGTAAAAAATGGGTTGGGTTGGGTCTTGACCCGATTGTTGTCTTAACCCATTATGACCCGCCCAAATTTAACGAACCTGCCCAATTGCCATCCCTAAATATATGGGTGTGTTTGGTTTCCTATGTATGGTTGGTCAAAATGTTTGGAAAATATTTTCTCTAGGAAAACAAGTTTCTTCAAAAATGAGGAAAATGACCTCACTAACGGAAGTAAGGAAAACAAGTTGCATAAGTGGCATTCCAAGTTTATTGTCTCCTCCCCACCCACCTAATTCCCCAACCCTCACCCCTTGACAATCCCACCCCCGCCACCCTCGAACCCTCACTCCCCATCCCATCCCACCTCCGTAGTGATTTGTTAGATAACATATAAATACTCTAGGGATAAGATTTTCTTGTTTACTTACCAAACACTAGAAAATAAGTAAGAAACCCACTTATTTTCCAAAAAAACTTTTTCTAGGAAATCATTTTCCGTAGAAAACATTTTCCTTCATACCAATCACACATATAATTGTAGCATGAAAAAGGTATGTTAGGTGGCCACTTGGACAGTAGTGACCTTTTGTATCTCTGCTGCATAGCTGGAGAAGAGAGCTGATAGTGCCAGTAAAAAGTTATTTCGTATTCAAAGTATTTGTGGGCTAAGAGATCCTTTCAATAAGTGAATCTGAAAAGCATTCCCCTGTGAATTGATCTTCTTAAAAGCTTTTCGTTTTCCAACATCACTTTGTCTTTAATAATGAAAATTACTGTCATCTGGACATAAATATTGAATTGTAATATGAGTATCCTGTATTTTGTCGTGTCTTCATTTTGAGATCTCAGCGTTGGCATGTCTTCTTTGTTTTCATAATCTCTGCATTGATTTTTTCATTTGTTTATATACCCAAAATTTGGGCTGCAGAATTTCATCAGCTTACGTATAGTCCGTTTCTTATATTTTAGGGATCGATGTGGTCAGTTTTTCTTGCAAACAAGTTGTATCTTAAGAACCCTGATTTATTATCTAGCTGATATATTTGTTGCTTGCTCTATTATTTATACAGGTACGAGTTGTTTCCCCGGATAAAGATTTTTTCCAGATTCTATCTCCATCATTACGCCTTCTACGAATAGCTCCTCGTGGATTTGAGTTAGTTCACTTCCCTTCAGCATGTTGATTAATTTGTGCTGGTTGAGCCTTGAATCAGCTCATATTACTTTGCTTCTTGATGAATATCTTAGCACTACATCCTTTTCTTTTACCTTTGGGATTGTATAGGATCAAACTGGTGTAGATGCTGTAGTTAATTACAACTGCTGGAGCTATTATGCTAAATTTGGAGTGTCATGAGATGTATCACGCCATGAACCTTGGGCTGGGTGGACAGACCTGCAATTCCTTCAACTTGCCTGAGTGAACTAGCTCTACATAACATAGGACTTGAAACGTACATAAAGTAGATGAAATAGATTCATAAGATAAAGTCATTAAAAGAATTCCATTCATAAATACTTGCTTTAAATTCAAAACTTGTCATAAAAATCAAAAACTGATAAAGTATGTATAACCGAGCACCTAGGCTCGTCTATATATGAATCCTCTAAGCATAATGTGAATAACAACATTTATCAAGACAAGACTCTGACATACCCTCAAGCTATCGAAGCTAAATAAATAAAGACTACACCCCAAGATCAAGTGGGGTTCACTAATAGCTGAGTGTGCAGAAACCTAGTGAGTAGCCTTGTCGTCCTGGGTGTTTGAACCTCCATTGTGAAATGCAGTGCTCCCAAGAAAATGGGTGTAAGTACATGTGGAATAGTACTCGTATGTAAAATATATTGAAGAAACGTAAGAGCTGCATGAAGGGAAAAAGGACAACCCAAAGCATAGTGAAAAAAATGTGAGGAGAATCAAGGAATACATACATTAGAATAAAATTAACATTGTCATCATTTACATAAAGTATCCCTTTTATAGGAGTTTCTTAAATAACCGACATATCCACCATGTGAGCACATGGAGTCCGATCTCTGCTCGATTGGCTAAGCCATCCCATTACCTTGTTAGGGTAATGAAACATAGATATCATAAGTTAGCATTTAAAATACTCATATTGAGGGTGACGTAGAGGAAAATTAACAGTACCACCCTTATCGTACATTGGCATATAGTTTCAAGCAGATGTGTATCCAGGATTTCAAGAAGATGGGTGCACAATCACCTTTAAGATAGATGTTCGGTTTAATTATATAAATTTTTATGATGAGAAAACCTTGATGAACAAACTGTAATTAATACTATTATTATAAGTTTGATTATATAAATTTGTACATTGACAAAAAGCTGATGAGCAAACTATAATTAATACTATTATTACAAAAACCTATCATTCATTTTACAATTTCCCTCAATGAGTTTTCATACTTTGAAAACTATCAGTAAGAGCATTAGTGCTTAGAGTTTTGAATACCTTACATTCTATATACCAAACTAAGAAACCATAAAACAATTCTTCAACAAACACCTAATTCGTTATGAGTAATGATCTTCAAGAGAGTGTTTGAGGAGAATGGTCATGGTTATTAAAATTATTTGGTCCAAAATACTTTATCATTTAGAAAGATAAGATAGAATTCATTAATTTTTTCTCATTTTGTCATTAATATTATTTTTTCTTGAGTGTAAACAATATTGATTAGATATAAAACACATAAATTGAGTACACATCTATTATAAAAATAAAGACAAATTAGTCAACATTATTTCTTATTTATAACATTTTAAGATATGTCCAAAACAAAAATGTGGGAAGTAAAAGATCAGCAAAAGTATAATGTTATATTAGGAGATTTAAGAACCCAAGTCAGAATACAAAGAAAGAAAGGGGAAAATGTATAGAAAGCGGGAGTAACCGAGTGGAAAAAATTTATGTCCCTAGCGATTATGGAATTAAAAATTCAAAAGACTTACCATCACACAGTAACCAAGGTACAAAAGAAAACAATAAAAAGACGGAAGAATGTTATTGTAAAAGTTACACATGGGGAATCAATCTCTTGACTTTCAGGTTGAAGGTGCACTCAGCAACAGCCGAAAGAGGTCACATGAGCCTGGGTTCACATGCCCTTATTTAAGTTTTTAACTCAAAACAATACTATTGTTATACCTAGTCTAAGGAAGGGAGCATGGGTTCACATGAACCCACTTCCTCCACGTAAATCCTTCCCTGGTTTCGGCCGCTTGTTGAAGAACTCATGCCTTCTCGGTTAACAATAATCCTCCGAAACTGTTTATGTGATAAAATTTAGCCATAATCATAATGTATATTCATCGTCATGTGTATCATAACATAAAATCATCAAGTTCATACTTTTTGAAGAAAATCATATGATCATTGTTTTATCATTATCATAGTGAAATCAATAACATTCATGGGACATGAATATTGTTAGAATCTAGGGATATCATAAGGAGTTCATGATGTTCATAATGAAATACATGAACTATACATAATATTTCAAAATTCAAACCCTAACTCGTCTCATAGTGGAGAAATTCACGTGATATGAAGAACGCGATGTAGGGAAAACAATAACACTTCCGCATGAAGAGAGTTAGCCTTACATACCTTAATCGCTCCAAATTACTTGAAGAAAAATCTGAACTTTGACGAAGAACATCAAAAACTCTATGTTTAATCCTTTGAGAGGGGTTTTCTTGAAACCCTATGATTTGAGAGATGATTCTTGTTAACAATCCATATATTAACGATAGAATAGCTTAGAAACACTTAGAATAGACTTAACTTGATGTGGGAGGATAAGGAGAGGAGAGAAATATTGTCCTAGGGTCCAGAGAAACGAAGTAAAATTTCGAAAAAAACTCGCATAGGGTCATAGTTATAAGTTGATGACTGGGCCTGGGTTTCGATATGTTGCTTTCTCCACTGGCGATGGGTGTTGCATTGCATCATGCATCACATCGAAATGAGCCATGACATCCACTACATCCAACTTGGACATGATGGGCGATGTGCTGCATGTCCCATCGCATTGAATACTTTCCGTAACGAGCTCGGATTGACGAATGGTTTGAAGCATTGAAAACTAGACACAAGCATGGCATCTATTATAAGTTTATAAGCATACATCCTTATCAACGCCTCATAACCCATCCAAATTGAACTTTAACTCTCGAGCGCAACCATAATCTCCGTGTTCGGATCAAATTACTCATTTCGAATGGGTCAACCGTTAGGTCGGAAGTACGAGGTGTTACAAGATGCACTTAGAATAGGGTAGGAGATACAACTTTTGCTGAAGTGATTGAGAGCTAATTTACTGCTATACCCAAAATCAACTGTCTATGTACTTCAGAATTTGTTTATGAACAAGTGTCATTCTGACTCTGATCAGTAAAAGGGGCGACATTCCAGTTATTGGATGGACTAAGGATTTGTGGAAGTGGTGAATTTGATTCATGTGTATAAGAAAATTTAATAATGTGCCCATATTTTGATGTTTCTCGCACTATAACTGTCGAGGGAACTTTTCATGAAATCAGTGTTCTGAAGTTGATAGGATGGATTCTGAATCCCCAGATTTCCTTAAAAAGGGGATCGGGAAATTAATGAACCAATATATCATATCATGGAAGTACACCATGAATTTTGATGATTGATTGAGATAGGTGAATCCTGGACTAGCTTTGCGTATTATAAAGTTGAGGCAGCACTATGTAGGGATAACCACAATGTTTAGTTCCGTTATCTTCAAGGAAAAGGTATAGTTATTGCTACAGATAATCTTTTCCTCTCTGCCATAAGTTTTTCTATGATTTTGATGTTGTTTGCTGTTTCATTATGGATAATTCTGAGTCCCATCTCCTTCACTTAGAAGATACATGGTAATGGGGGTATCACGAAATTGTTTATTTTTCAGTCTTCTGACATGTGTCTGAAATATTTACCAAGTCCCTTCTTGCTTCTGGCCTTTTGGCAGGATGGTCTCATTTGGAATGGAGGAGTTTGCTGGAAAATATGGAGGACTGAAACCTTCTCAGTTTGTTGATTTGACCTCACTTATGGGTGATAAATCTGATAACATACCAGGTTCATTTGTGCTTCCTTATGTAATCTTTTCATTAGATTGAAAGGTAGTCAGAAGATGCACTATATCTGGAGATGCATTGCTATCTTTTATTAAGTTACCAGTAAAGTCAAGCTCACAGATCACCAAGTATATACAAGATGGATAGACATATAACACACTATGTAAATCATAGTTTAGCATTAGCTTTTCTAATTTTAGCCAACTCCAATTTTGAACACTATGTAATTAGATTTATTTTCCTGTCTGATTAAATCAGTAAAATAAGTCATTAGGCTCTGCCTATCGAATATTATTTTTTTTAAAATAAAGGTAGATTGCCGGACTTCTCTTTGTTTTCAATTAAACTCACTCAGTCCCTCCAACTTCTGAACGGCATTACCCAGAAGTATTCTGTCAAGTGCTGTCAAGAAAGTATAACATTGCGCCAGAAGCCTTTATGCCTAGAGCAAAAGAAAAGCATTAGCAAAATATGTTAGCACCCTTTTAGTCTACCAATAGTTTACACGGGGAAAATTCAATCAGAAAGTAGATTACTTTAGCAGCTATTCATTATGTTTTCCTGTTTTCTCTGTTGCAGTTATAAGCAGTAAGGACAATTTATCTATTATTTGTGTTTTCCTATTTCTTTGTAGCAGTAAGGAGGTTTTTCCTCCACTTTCTCATTTCAGTGGCAGTAGGAAGTTATTTCCTAGTTATTAGGTGGGTGGTTAAACCACCAATGTTGTATTTAGAGTTGTTGTAACTCAATGGAAAGATAAGCAGAAAATATTCCAGTTTTTGAGCACTTCAACTCGAGATTGCAGGTTCTCTTTTAACGAACCAGCACCATAAGTCATAGAAAGAAAACATCAGATTTCATCTTACAACGTCCCATAGTCCATAACAGGGGACCGCGACAAAATACTTAGGTCCTTCTTTATTGGAGGTCTGAGTGACTGACTTAAAATCATTGCTGGCCTATTTAAGCATTCTGAAGGTTAAAGTTCAATAACGACTGATGCAATGACGAGACACAGAAAAGCTGTGAGTTCTAAAAAATGGAAATGGCTTGAGAAATTTTACCTATTTTACTCGGACTCTTCAAAAGTGTCAATGGGTGCATGCCGTATTCTCCAAAAGTAGTGTATTTTTGGAGAATCCGACACGAGTGCGGCATCGAAAGTGAAGAGTCCACCCAACTTAGAATTTTACTGGGAAGTTCATGGCACCTCCATTCTCATCGTAAAAGTCCAAATGAAGAGGAGAAAAGGATGTCATATCCATATCTCATTACTTCAGAATGGTGTTGTATAGATCACTTATAAAAAATGGTGCTGCTAGTTACATGTGCGCTGCCTACAGACAGATTCTGGTATTTTTCCAATATATCAAGTCACAGTAGATAAGTCTGTCTCACTGGACTTATAGGAAGTAGTTTATTAGTAGATACAAATCAGCTTCAGCTTAATGGTAGACTCCATTGGAATCTTTCATTTTATAAAACTCAATTTTCAAAAGATCTGGCACTATATTCCTTCTTCTTTTTTTTCATTTCTTTTGCAGGAGTTCACGGGATTGGAGATGTACATGCAATTCAACTTATTGCAAAATTTGGTATGTTAATTGTTGTTAGTAATATACTCTGGGGAACCTTAATTTTGACGGGCTGTTACAAGTTAGAACTGCTTCCCCTGCTTTAGAAGGATAAATCCTTTCCATAATCCTCCTTTCCTGCATGTTACTGCTGCACTTATAATTGTTCGCAAATGTAGTGAACGTGAAAATGCTTATAATCCGGAGTATGCCTACTTCTAATTCTGATTCTCAGTGCCTATAGGTTGCTTGGTTTCTAGACAAATTATTAGTGTGATGCAACAGACTGGCATGCAAAATATTCCCACTGACTAAAAAAATAATATCTTATTCTCCATTTCTGTTAGCTCTGTTTACTTCCCTTAAAGGAAAAGTTCAAATCCATTTTATATAACAAGAAATGTGAGCTACAATTACATTTCTTGCTCCCATTTCTTCCTGTATTCTTTTCTTCAGAAACATGGAAGGTAATACAAGGCCTTCTGCGTTCCTACAATGAGTGGAAGCACAGAAAAATATTATTAAGATGTGTATCTTCTTTATTCTGCTGAGCCCTATTCATAGTTATATACTACACAATACATAATAATTTTTTTTCATATGGGATGCTATAATAATCCTTTTCCTTATGGGACACTATATATTTATATTCTAGCACTTCCCCTCAAGCTGGTAATAATTATACAAAAAATGTTACCTTCTCAAAAAAAAAAATGTAACTTATTCGAGGACCAGTGAAAGACTTGGTGAAAGTGAAGATTTCAAGAAGAAGAAAAAACTTCTTTGTTTATTGATAAATTTACTTCCCATGAGAATGGGTACTTGTACAAGGAATCCTAAGACTAAATAAGGGAAGACAATATTACTCAATCAATTACATCTAATTACAATATAAATTTAATCCTATATATTATAATTTAGCTAGGATATCAATCAATCAACACACCCCCTCAAATTGAAACAAAGACTTCACACATGCCCAACTTGCAAACAAGTGTATGGAAAGTCCGTTTGTTGAGGCCTTTGGTAAACACATTAACTAGCTGCTTTTCTGATGATACATGGAACAAACTCAACACACCACTCGTAACTTTTCTTTGAAGACATATCAATCAATTTCAACGTGTTTTCTTTGGTCATGTTGGACTTGATTATGAGCTTACACTGATTGGGGCCTTGTTGTCACAATACAAGAAAAGTTTTACTTTTTCAGACAATCTCAATTGCTCTAGTAGCTTTTGTAACCACAAAAGTTCCCAAACACCCTAGGCCATAGCTCTATATTCTTCCTCCGCACTTGATTACACTTCGCTTCTGGCTTCTCCAAGTGACCAAGTTTCCTCATACAAGTGTAGAGTAATCATATGTAGATCTTTTGTCATCTAGAGATTATACCCAATCCGCATCCATAAAGGCTTTTATTTGAAGGTGACCGTGTCTGAAAAAAGGTAGACCTTTCCGTGGAGCACACTTCAAATACTGCAAATGTGAATGACAACTTTGCATATCAGGATCTCGGGGATGATGCATGAACTGACTATGTTTGGTCTAGTGTGAGAGAGATTAATGAGTCTTCCAACCCTCCTTTGATATCTCTCCTTGAAAACTTAACTCTCCAATTTTGTTCGTAATTTATGATTGCTTTCAGTGGTGATTTTGCGGGTTTGCAACCCGTGATACCTTTTTCTTTTAAGATGATTCTCAAAGTCACAATGGAAATTATATGATTGATCCTTGTACTCTGAATCCCTGGCCATTCTCTATGGGACAGAGGGATGATTTGCCTTTTCCTACAAAGAAAGCGGCTAATTACCTGCAAATTATGACCTGGAGCCTTCTCGTACACAACTAGTATAATCCAAAATCACCATTACTCGGACATCTTTCCCCTTGGCCAAAATATGTTATTATCATGTCATAAATGTGGTACCATGGTTCTTACAGTCATCAGAATATTTTTGCAGTGTGTTTAAGTGTTACAATATTCTTCATTAAAAAATGAATTGTTTGTACCCTTCAGGGTGGCCCAGTGGTTTGTGCTTGGGACTTCCATGTTGGAGGTCTCAAGTTCGAAACCCCTTGCCAGCGAAAGCAAGGGGTTTGCCTTCTGGGTTGAGCTCGTCGCATCGGGCTTGCCTAGTGCGGGTTACCTCTCCTATGTGGTATGCAAGCTATTGTATAGGAGCGGGGGCTTTACCCTGTGCGCACCCAAAGGGTAGCGGCTGCGGGTTTCCCTTGTCATCAAAAAAAAAATGAACTGTTTGTTAATAAAAATAAGACGTTCATTTATCTCCTTGAATGGTATTGGGTTTTTTATCTACTCTTCTGTGTTTGCTTTTCTATCTTCCTTCATTTATTTAGTAGTTTTTGTTTCCTTCAATTCCGTCTTAATTTAGGTTGCTTTTAACTTGTTTCTATTTTGGTTTTATTTAATAGGTACACTAGAAAACTTGTTAGAATGTATTGAACAAGTTGAGGAGGAGCGAATTAGGAAGGTAATTCCTGCTAATTTATGATTGTGGTCTATTTAGCTTTTCTTGGTAGTGACTTGTCACATGAGATTCACCATTTCCAATTATTCTTTCTTTAATTTGTCCATTCAAGTTGCCTCCTCCAGAGGAAGCCTGTGTAAATTTGTCATCTCAGGGTATCATTTTGAAACAGTAGCTGAGCTTAGATTTAATAGTACTCTATTAACAAAGTAGTATATCACAGTCTTGAATCCACATCTGCTGATCCAGTATTACTGGTGACGTGAACAGGATCCAAATTACTCTGGCTGTGAATTATTTACACTTTAACTGTTTTGTCCATTTTATTCCCTTAGCTTAAATTATGATACGATTTCCCAATTGTTTTAGACCATGTCTGTTCAATGGACTACCATTGGAATTCACTCTGCTAAAAAAAGAGAATATGTACAGAAGAGAAGAAGAAAACTAGTTTATCACTTGTGATTTCTGACAATTAAGATATGTTATCTGCTAAATACCATCTTTTAGAAATTGGAGTCACCTTGCTTTTTACATGGATCACAGCATGTGTGTGTCTGTGTTGGTTTTGTATTTTGCAAGGAGCTGGATCTTGGGCGTAACTCAACCCCAAAAATTAGCTCAAGAGGGGAAGATTGCCCAAATCATTTAAAGAGACCACCAATCCTGTAAATCCTTGATGTGGGAACTCTTCGATCCCCCCCTCCCCTTCCAGGGTTGGACATTTGAAGCATCGACAATTTTTTTAATATGGTGGCCCAACATTGGGTAATAAGATTTGGGAGGAGTTCTGCTTTGATATGTAAAGAAATGGATTTTATGGATCAAAATTTGAAGTAGGCCATAGCGAGTATCAATCTTATGGATGAAAGCTATATTTGAAAATGGTAAGAATATGGTAGCTACATGTTTGTCTGTCTTCCCCTTCTAAAACAATTCTATTGTTCTCTCTTTCTGTCTCATCACTTATGCCAGCTTGCCAACCTGTTTTCCATTTTTTCCACAATTCCTTGCCATACTCCCTGTGACCTATGTTTGTCACCTAGAGAGGCCCAACTTCAAGTATGTAGTTGGAAAACCAGCAGTTCTGCATCCAAGGATCTCAGCCAGTTCCAAAATATTGGCAACATTATTAACTGTTGCATCTCTATCTGCCAAATGCCATCTTTTTGGAATTTGAGTCACTTCCCTTTGTATATGGAATCACAGCATGTGCATGTCAGGGTTGGCTTTGTATTTCACAGTTCACCAAATTATAGGATGTGCATAACCTGAAGCGGGCTATAGCGAGTAGACACAGTCAATCTTTTGGATTAGACCCATCTTTGAAAGTGGTAATAACGTGGTATTCATAGGTTTGTCTCTCTTCCCCCTCCAAAACAATTCTACTGTTGCATCTCTATTGCAGCAATTTTCAATTGATCTTTGAATGGAGCAACTGAAGTATGCAACTGTCTTACATCTAAACTCTTTTGGTTGAGTCTTAGAAAGGGTTTGGCATTTCCTTTTGTAGGACCTGACAGATTAAAATATAAACCTAATTAAAATGAGACTCTATTCTTTTTAGTTAATCTAATACTTGTATTTTCCTTCTTAGTTTTGTTAGAGACTTGTATGTAAACCAAGTCTTAAGAGAACTCCTAAATTGCCTTACAACAACACACCCAGTGAAATCCCACTAAGTGGGGTCTGAGGAGGGTTAGAGTATATGCAGACTTTTCCACTACCTCGTGGAGGTAGAGAGATTGTTTCCGAAAGACCCTAGCCTCAAGTGCATCAAACTCAAGTAAAAGAAGAAGAAAACAATGAAGAAATCATAGAATTTAATAAGAAAACAGTGTAAAGTCTACAAGAAAGAACAATAACAACTACAAAATAGTGTGGTAATCAAACCACAATAAACAACATATGACCAGAACTACAAGGGTACGACTAGTACTATTAAAGGAACTAACAAGCCTAAACATTCGCAAGGCAATACAACTACTCCTAAATTGCCTAAGTGTCCAATTATTCAATATTGGAATAAAATAAGCCTGAATAGAACTGATTGCTTGCTTGAAGTTTGTTTGAGAACGGAAGATGCTAGGATATCACCAAATCAGTAGATATTGACTTGCTGGTTTCAGAGACGTGCTGATTTTATTTTCCATACCATTTATTCAAATCTAGAAACTTAGGAAAGTTAATTGTAAGGTTATCTGTGATTCTGTAGCAGTTTTCGCTGCTAGTATTTTGATCTTGATCTTCATTCTTTTATTATAAGAAAATGTGTACAACATTCTTTAACAAGAAGTGATCAAAGAGTTCTCCTCAAAAATATTTCTCTTTCTCATGGTATGAAAGCTTAGTTGCTCTTTTCTGTCCTTTTTTATAGAGGCTGGCATGTTGTCCACCATGTGAAGTTCCATCTGACTCTTCACGTGCAATCTTAGTAAAAACTAGTGTCCACACTCTGTCCAGATTATGACCACTCCATTCATGAAGTGAACTTCCTACAAATCTTGACAATTTTATAAACACTAAGCAACTCACGCCGAAAAAGGTCTCAATCAAGGCACCGGCCTTCTGCTTTCTTGTTTACTGTCTCGTATTGGTTGAGGGACACATATGACCTTGGACAATCATCATCTTATGAGCTAGCTTTTTGGGGTTGAGTTAAGCTCAAGGTCCTTTTTTTAAACATGATATCACAGCCAGACCAATTTCATTTCTTTTTTACCCAATCTTGGTCCCCCATATCAAGTTATCCATGCTCCAATGTCCATCATTTTTGTTAAGTGCCCCTCCTAAACTAGAAACATCAAAAAGGAGACTTGCTGATGACTTTGATATCAAGGACTTGGGGATGTTCAAATATATCCTTATGCTGGAGTTTTCTACGTCTAAGGAAGGTAAATTTGTCAGTCAATGCCCATATGTGCATGACTTGCTCACTGAAACAAGCTTACTTGGTCACAAAGCTGTTGAAACATCGGTTGATCTTAAAGTTACAGTCCGTCAATATCTAAGATGTGGTGGGTGCGATACTTAAAGCTTGTCGAAAATAGTAAATTTGCTCCATACATGTCCAAAAATAACTTCTGCAGTAATCTTGGTGAGTCAATTCATGCATTCACTAAAAAAGCAACTCTTTGATGGTGAGTGCAAACTGTGAGATACTTGTAAGTTGCAAGGGACTCGTGGAAAAGGCTAGTTATTTAAGATATGGACATCTATGAACTGAAGTCTATGCTGATGTAGATTTGGGATAGCTAATGTAAGATCCAATTCTGGTTGTTGTAACCTTTGTCAGAGAAAATCTTGTGACATTGTAAGTACTAAACAAAATATGGTGGCCAGGCGCCGAGAGGTTGTGCAATGGTTGAATTTAGACTAGTTGCTCATGTGATTTGTGAAATGTGAAGTAAACAATTCGTAGAAGTTTTGAATATTTTCAGTATTCTTTGCAATAATAAAACAACAATCTCTATTGTGTATAATCTGGTTATTCATGACAGAACAAAGCATGCAGAAGTGAATAGGCACTTCAGTCAAGAAAGACTTGATAATGGGCTGTCTTGTATGCCATACATACCAACTGCCTGTCAAATTACTAATTTACTTACAAAGGACTACAAAAAATGCAAATCGACAGTTTGATAAGCATGCTGGCAATGAAGCTATCCACAAGCTGGTTGGGTGGAGTGTTGGAGAATAGAAGATTCAACTAGGATATTACTAGTAACTAAATCAGTGTACATTGTTTGTTTGCTGTATTATTTCTGCAGATTTACTCAAATCTTGTAGATTGGGATAGCTCATTATAAGTTAGCTCGTTTGTTTAGCTCCTCGTATTTTGATTTTTTTTTTCCTCCATCAGAAGTAGTTATGTACTGCATTCTTTGACAAGAAGCAGTCAAAAGTTCTCTTCATGACTTTTATCTCATAGATCTTAAAGTTAAATTTGCATTAATTTACTGGCCTTTTAGTATGACGTAATGACATTCTCAGGAAATAATATTTTATCATTCCTGTGCTGGGATCTGTAATAATACCTCTAACAATCTCATTTGGCAATATGGTTTAAGTAGCTCCCTGGTTTCTTCTTCAAAAGGAACTCCTTTATCAAGATAAGCGCAGAATTGTTCTTGTTTGTGCTACTGATTTTTGAATCATGATTCCTTTTCTTCTAATATCAAGATAAGCACAGAATTGTTCTTGTTTGTGCTACTGATTTCTTCATGGAACTACTCATATTCCTCCTGTCTGTATGTCATTCCTTCCACGTTCTTGATTCTTCTACTTCTGAAGAGTAGATGAGTAATAAATTAATCTCTTAATTTGATTGGTTAATCTGCTTTCAGGCATTGCTATCCAATGCAGAGCTGGCTAGACTTAGCAAGGATCTAGTATGTAGCTTTTTCCCTATGATATGTTGTTCTGACCTCATAATTCATCCCGCTGGATACTGACTAATTCTGTCAATTTTGCAGGCAATACTACGATGTGATCTTCCATCCTACATGGTTCCTTTTGTCCCTGATGACTTGATATTTGAGAAACCAGAGGTGAATCAATCTTAATATTTTCCATTCTACCTCTATAAATCTAAATGCTGTCTATGTTTGGGTGCGACTCTACAATTCACTTAGAATCAATGTCCTATAAGTATCTCCATGTTCGTTGATGTTTAGAAGCTATTTAAGTGTTGACTAGAGGCCAGCATCCAACCATCCAAGTTTGCACTGCTTAGTGGTGGGTGTCAAATAGTAAATTGGTTTTCCTAATTCCTAGAGTGAGGAAAGGGGGTTGGAATTAAGACTTTTAAATTTCTCGCACCATATTTCTAATATATACGTAGTTATTGATTGGAAGGTATGTTGGCCTTTTAGCCCAAATTTGGTGGGAACTTTTTTCAGCCTATAGATGCTCCGAATGATAAAAAAATTGACTTGTAATATGACTTCACATTGCTCAACGATACATGTTCCACATCCAATGGCAAATTTATTGGCCAAATCATGGGGTTCGTGAACCCATGGTCTTTCCGTAAAACTAGGTATTTTATGTATACATGTTTTCTAAAATTAATATAATATTATCTGCTAGCACCTGTGATACAAGAAGGTCAAATGGTGCACATGTTAAATATTGAGTTGTTCACCTAGAGGATTAGGATCAATTCCCATTGTATACATTTTTTCCTTCTTTTTTTTAGTGGTGCACCTATGTTCTAGAAATCCTAGATTCGCCTCTGTCCACATCAATGAATTTCAAGGTCCACATTGGCAGAAGCTTGAGCAGTCCATACATTTAAAAGCACCTTGTCTTCCTTAGTGTTTGTGAGAGTTTTGATTAGACTGATGCCTGAACCTTGTGACGGCTACTTCTATTTTCCGAGATTGGCTATATGTCCATTGATAGCTTTTCCTATGAGTGAGTATATTATATTGAAGCTTGAATTTATATAGTTGGCAGCAAGCATTAGAAAATCAGTTCAGGAACTTGTCAAAAAATATAACTAGTGCTGATGCTTAGATGTTTGCTACAATCTGAAAGCTGAGATTTTTTATGCAGGATGGTGGGGAAAAATTTACTAGCCTCTTAACAGCTATTAGTGCTTATGCGGAAGGATTTTCCGCAGATAACATAATTAGAAGAACTTTGTATTTGTGGAAGAAACTTGAGAAGCAAACTGTAGATACCATTCACCAAAAAGTTGCATCTGCCTGATAAGAGACTCGAGTCTTGAAAACTAATGGTGATGTAAAGAGTTCCCAATTCTGTCTATAGCTTTTTTGGGTTGTACTTATATTATAGTGAGATATTAAAGAGTAGTTTAGCAATGTTAATTGCTTTTTTTTCCTTGGAAATCCCTGGAAACGCACAACCTCTGCCGTTTGGGTGAGCATTCTGTGGTAAGCACTTTGTGGTTTCATGCTCAAGTGCTCACTATGCAATAGTTCGCAAACCACATAGGAGATGTAAACCACATTAGGCATGCAACAAGCTCATCTCTTCAAACTCTCTATGCAACTCCTAAAATATGAAGGTTGTAGATGGATTGCATGAAAATGATTCCTTCATTTCTCAACTAGAATAGCTGCAATTGACATGGTATCAGAGTCAAGTTTATCTCAATATATTGTTTCATCTAATGTTGAGGAAAATGACTCTCTTAGTGAAAGTAGGAAAAATATTTTTTATTGAATGAAGAAAATGACTTTCCTAGTAAAAGTAGAAAAATCAAGTTCCACAAGCAATATTTCACATTATTTGTGTACTCCTCACCTTCCAACACAATGCCTTAAAATTATGCATTGTGGAGTCTATTGATGAAAATATTGTTTTTGGTGAAGAACAAACAAGGCCTGGTAGTTGGAACATATTTGAAAAGTTCAAACAAAGGTGGTGGAAGAGATAATGTTAATAGTTGATATTCCATACTAATCAATGGCCAAGCACAAGGTTTCTTTCACTCTACTTGTGGTGAAGCTAGGGGATCCCCTCTCTCCAGCTCTCTTCATTTTATTTACAAAGGTACTAACCAGATCACTCAATGATTTATTTGAGAAGGGGTTGCACATAGGTTTTGACATGCCAAAATGGAGTGCAAACTTTAGTTGTTTTATGGAGATAATACAATCATCATTGTCCATGTGGGGCACAACATCTTACAAGTCATCATTCACATGCTTCAGCGAAGGTCGTCATAAAATACATGCTACCTAGTTTCTTGAATAGAAAAGGCCCCTCCATAAAAGATATAAAAATTATTGCTCAAGTAGATTTTGGCTGCAAGATTAGCTACTGGAAGTAGGGGTGTACAAAACCGAATCAAACTGAGTCAAACCGGAAGAAAAAATCCGACTATACTTGAGTTGGTTTGGTTTAACGAAAAAAAGTCAACCCGAGACCAAACCAACTTGATATTATATATATAATCTTTAAAATTTATTTTATACATAAAAGTATTTACTTTAATGTAATTTCTAAATATTATTTATACGTTTTCATAATTTTTATCTTTTAACATATTTTTTCAGGTTTTTTTAGACTAAGAATTTTGAATGGTCCAATAAAGGTTATAGTCCATAAATATTAGTAACTCTATTAAAGTTCAATTCAAAATCAAATCAATACTAATGTTAACAAAACAAATTAATTCAACACTAAGAATGGCAATAATGTTGAATATTTGTTCTTTAGTTTTACATTGATTTAGACATTTAAAATACACTAGTTTTTTGACACGTGCGTTGCACGTGATTACCAATTTCAAAAATATATGTTCTAGTAAATAGTATTGCTTATTTAAGCGAAGATTTGAATAATAAGTTTAGCAAAAAATAATATTGCAGATTCTTTTGTGAATGTTCAATGTGGATCGTCATATATATCTCTTATTCACGCAAACCTATGAAGATTGTCAGCGAATTTTTTTATTAGTTAGATGCAATTATGTATATATTTATTTCAATGTGTTGAGGTTCAATAATGTAATTAGTCTTATCTCACTAATATTATCTTATAGACAATATTTGTTTTGTATTTTTCTTGCCATCTAACCATATGTGCTTTACATGTGTATTCTACGTTAAATTGTTTAGATGTCATATGAACGTGTGAAGAGAACAACTACATTTTATATATTCACATATTTTCATATTTGTTGTGAGTTTTTTTTTAAAAAGAACTCGGAACATTTTAAAATAGTATAATTTGAAATTAGAAGATCTTGTTAACTTGATAATACATTTGTGACATATATAATACTTTAATTTAAATACAAATACCTACCCAAATTTAAGTATATATTTGCATTAATGAAAATATTTATCTCATAAAATTAGCTATTAAATAAATAATAAAAATTAAACTAATACAAACTTTAACTGGCGTTCTTACAAGTCAATATGAACATTTTTTTCGTCTAAAATACTGAAATATAAAGGAATAGTAATAAGTAAAACAAAAGGGCAATGTTTATATAGTATAATAACTATTTTGAAGCAAACTTCCTGGAATTCTAAATCACATAAGTAACATTAATAAATAAAGTCATTCTTTTGTCTTGAGTATCAAAAACAAATCGTGACAATTCTCTAAATTTTAGAAAATACATCACAAGAGAAATTGTTAACAAAATCAAATGAATTTAGTCTACATCATCTTAACTTCATATATTGGAACATTACATACTAATGTGTATATTAAGCAAAAAAATAATTATTATATCATCAAAATTATATTATTTTCCTCAAGTACTCGAGGTTATGGAGCCCTCTTAGGATAGAACAACTTACTTCATCAGAATAGTGGTACCTCATATTCCGCTAAACTTTGAACTCACTCAACAACAATAAATCACACAAAAAATTAAAATGCAAGAAGAAGAAGAGTAGAAGATTAGAAAAAATTGTGGTTGGAAAAGGAGAGGAAGTCCCTCTATTTATAGTCAACAAATGGTAGAATGAACAAAAAAAATTTTGTCTTATTTGAAAAGTCATGACATATTGAAAAGTCACAATACTTTAGAAAAGTCACAACTTATTAAAAAAGTCGCAACTCTTTGGAAAAGTCACAACTTATTGAAAAAGTCACAACTCTTTGAAAAAGTCACAACTCTTTGGAAAAGTCACAAATTATTGAAAAAAGTCACAACTCTTTGGAAAAGTCACTACTCATCGAAAAATCACAACACTTTGAAAAAAGTCACAACTTATCGAAAAAGTCACAACTCATCGAAAAAGTCACAACCTATGTTAGGGATATTTTAGTAATTTAACATTCAAGTTAGGAGTTCATGCTTTTAAGGTAATATAGATAACTTGATTTTAATTTTTCTTTAATGTTTAATCATGTAATTAATACATATTAGACTTATTTTAGCATGATTTAGTACTTTTAAATTATAATAATTTTCATTACGACTTATCAATTTGCGATATTTATTTTATACAATTTCATTATTATTTTTTATTGAATATTTTAGGGTCATCACTCATCTCGTATTTTGTGTTATATTCTTAAGAAACACCTTACATTGTTGTATTTTGGTTGGACTAAAGAAATACTTGGAGTTCAAGTTAATTATATGTTTGTACGAATACTTTACCGGAAAAATTCAAGGTTTATTAGTTTGTTGTGATTTAAAAATTCGACACAAATGGCTTGGTTTGGTATTTGAATAATTCGAACCAACCCAAAAAATCTGAGATTGAAAAACACGAAAAAATTCGAGTTTTATTAGTATGGTTTGATTTATAAATTTAAAAATTTGACACAAATGGTTAGGTTTGATATTTGAAAAATTCAAACCAACCCGATCATGTACACCCCTAACTGGAAGTGTTTGAAATGTAGTGAAATTGCAAGTGCTATGATAAGAGGGACACTGGAGCATGGATATGCAGTTTTAGATGGTTATTGTCATATCCTTATGACTGTAAATGAAGGAAGCAAGACATCATTGAAGCTTTATGACAAGGGAAGGTTCAAATATTTTTTTATATCATATGGAGCTTGGATTAGCGGGTTTGTGCATATGAGAAAAGTCTTAGATGCTGACGGTCATTTTTAAGAGGTCGTTACGATGGAGTTTTGTTGTTAGTTGTCGCACATGATACAAAAAAAAATATTTTTCCTGTTATATTTTGTGTAGTAGATAAGGAGTGTGATGCTGCATATGAGTATTATTTTTTTTAGAAACTGTTAGACATAGTCCTAATACTTCAGAGTTGTGCATAATTTCTTATAGGCATCCAAGCATAGGAAAAATGATATCAAAGTTTTACTCTGAAGCGCACCACGGTGTTGCACGTGGCATCTTGGTGAAAATACCCGTAAAAATTTTCATTGTAGAGATTTTTTTGGACTTTATTATCATGCAACAAAAGCATATCGGAGAGATGTGGTCCATGATTATTTTGAACAAATCAAAATTATCAATGCGAAAGTCGCGGATTATCTTGAGAATGCTGAATTTCACGAATGGAGTAGAGCATATTTCTCAGGAAACATGTAAACTTTCTTACTAGTTCGAACATAAGTATTGCAGGTTCCCAATAATTAATGTGGTTGTTGAAACAATTATTGTAGTTGTTGGAGCAACTATAGTTATTGAAACAAATTTTACAATTGTTTCGGCAACTACAGGGACATTAAAATAGTTGTTCCAAATATGCAATCTTTATTTAAAATCAGCAATCCTTTGTATTTTAGGTTCTTGATATTTTTCAATTTTTATATTTCAGATATAATGTATTGACTTCAAATATTGTGAAGTATGTTATGCAATGTTCAATGAGGTGGAAGTTTCAACCTTGTTGCCTATGGCAATAATCGTGACTATAAACAAACTCGTGACTATGGCAGAGCGGTACGCTCTTCTCTCTTGCAACCCCTACTCTAATCAAAAGACTAAAGACCCCTACTGAAGATAGGTCGCCAAACTACGACCGAGAGTTTCGCCTTTTGAAGCGCCAATCGCGTAGGATGATCGGGCCAGGCCAAGTCAGAAGGCTTTGATGACTCAAGGTTCATATTAGGGAAAGGAGAGTGAGGGGAAGAGGGGAAACCCTCGGCCCGATCATCCAATTCACTCCAAAGAATTTTTCATTACTGTCCTGTTGAATGATATAAGAGATGGTCAGAAAATTTTATAAGAGACAGATGGCATATGCCAAGTTAAAAAACACTTTTGTCCCTTCAGCTGAAATCAAAATAATGGCTAATAAGAATTTGGGAAATAAGTTATTGGTTCATCAAATTGATGAAGATAACTTCAGCGTCACCGTGGATAATGGGATCACAATGGTCCATCTTCGAAGCAAAATGTGTTTGTATTGAGAGATTGACTTGGACAAAATACCATGCCAACATGCT